TGATCTGGCCTTCGCCAGCATCCCCCCCTTCCCCCCCGCCATCGTAGGACAGCTTCCGTCATGCCCAGCGCTAGTCCCCGGGACGCCGGTCCCACGTCACCTGATATGTCAACTAATGCTGAGAAACAGGGGAGGTTAGATCCATGAGGACGAGCGGGGGCACGACAGCAACTCAGACGGGAAACAAAGTAACAGGAAACCACCTGGACCACAGCTCATCTATGACTGACGCACCAGCATTAGTCATTCTCACCACCTCTCTGGGTCAGAGGTCATCGCAGCCTCGGCAGGCGGGAGAAACCACCACAGACATAACTGGGCCCCGCCCAGTGTCGACGCCCGCCCCCCGAGGCAGGAGAGCCGGGGCTGAGATCCGATACCCCCCCGGCTGCTTTCCGTGGGCACCTACATGGGCCCCATTTGACCTCTGAGATGGCAGATGGCTGCATTGTCAGCCTGTCATAGCGCTGGGGGCGGGGATTATCCCAGAGAGGGCCATGGTGGGTGAGGACCGAGAGCCCTTATGAAGATGTTTATGTTCTGCTAGAGTAAGGGGGTGTTCCAGTGCTGTTAAAATTAAACCAGAGGCGGAGGGCCAGTCAGACCCCCATGCACACAGATACATGCATTAGCCAAGATGGACGGGCGTTTGCTGTTATCAGCAGAGTGACTGGGCCCCATCACCAAAGGCAGATTGCAGACAGCGTCTTCTGCTCTGCACCTCCTGTCTGCCATTGTCGTCACCCCCAGTGTCTGTCACTGAGCGGGCGGGCACACAGACACCTTACTGTCGTAATAAACGGAGTATGTGCTGATCCGCCAGTAGACAGGAGACGCTATTTTCGTAAGCGATCCTTTACTCCAGCGGTATTCCATAAGAACAATGATCCAGGACAGAGCAAACACTCAGAACAGAGCAAAGACCCAGTATAGAGCAAAGACCCAGGACAAAGACTCAGGACAGAGCAATGACCCAGGACAGAGCAAACACTCAGAACAGAGCAAAGACCCAGTAGAGAGCAAAGACCCAGGACAGAGCAATGACCCAGGACATAGCAAAGACCCAGGACAGAGCAATGACCCAGGACGAAGCAGACTCGGGACAGAGCAAAGACTCAGGACAGAACAATGATGTAGGACATAGCAAAGACTCGGGACAGAGCAAAGACAGAGGACAGAGCAAAGACCCAGGACAGAGCACAGACCCAGGACAGAGCACAAACCCAGCACAGAACAAAGACCCAGCACAGAGCACAGACCCAGGACTGCACACCCTCAGATACATCTACATGGCGCCATTAAAGCCATGTCCGTGGAGAAGCTTTCTCCTTTCTGCTCTAAATCAGCTCAGTGTTTTCTTGGCGCTCTGCAACCCCAAGGCTGTGCAATAATAAAACACTCGGAGAAATAATATCCTCGTTCTCGCCAAACCGAGCAGCGTCACCGGTATTCTTCTTCATCTCTGATTCGCCTGTGACATTAAGTGGAAGAAAAATGACTATACCCCCCCACACACACACTTTGCGACAACCACAGAAGAAAAAGGGACCCAATTAATTTGGAACCTTAAAAATCCAGTGCTTGCGGATCCCGATCTTTAGCAGAATTATTAGATTAGAGCCACTGCAAAGAACTGCTTCCAGTAGCAGCTGTGGCAATGAGCCCGGCAATACACGATAGCAGCAGCAAGCCGGGATCTGTCACCGGTGAGCACGGGCACCCCTCCTTCCTTTGACAGGGAGCTGGAACTCTGGCAGGAGTTTGCCAGGGGTAATGCAGGCAGGCGGCTGCTCCTGTGAGATAACTGCACTCTGCCTGCACGGTGTTTCTTAGCAGGTCTCAGACGGAGTCGTGTCGGCCTGTGGAGGAATGCGGCCACTTCCTGTCACATGCCCACGGGGCCTGCTGACTCTGCTGAGTCGGCTTACCTGGGGTGACAGGTGAAAATCCCATGTCAACTGACGTGAAAGTCCAGTGTCGACTGACATGTGAAAATCCCATGTTAATCGGAACCTGCAGCAGTGTGATGCGTGAACGTTTTGGCCCGCCACGGGTACGTTTTTATGTGTGTATTTTGTGAGTGTGCCTCTGTCACGCTGCATCACAGGTGGTTTCACCCCTTCCCATGTCACCCAGCAGGGGGCGCTGTGATCTTAGGTGAGCTCTCATCCCCCTGCGTGTTTGGAACGTGCCTGAGGACCTGTCAGTCCCTTCACCAAGAGCCAGCGTTCTTCTGTGGCGTTCGCTAACCCCGCTATTATTAGCAGCCCCACCACCGAGGAAAGCTTCAGGACACGGCACCGTGGGCCAATTTGTGAGCCACCTCCCCCCCCTCATCCCCGGCTATCATTACTTCAGCAACAGTGATAGCACAGTGGGAAACCAATACCACCAAGGTCATGGGCCGAATTTACAAACCACAAGTCAAGGCGTTACATCCCTCACTGCAAGCAATAAACTCTCACGAACCATAGATTCGCTGTAGATTACAAGCCGTTGATTAACCACATTTACTAATCGTGCTGTAAATCAAGCTCAAGGACTAAAACATCGGGCAGCTTAACGGCTGCCTCTGGCCCTCCACACACTGTTGCGAAAGCGTGTCATGTGACAGGCCGCCATGTGACAGGCCGTCATGTGACAGACCCCCGGCGAAGCTGGTGGCGCATCAGCTGTGGTCAGTGCCGTGCCCAGTGGGCCTGGAGCATGGCAGCCTGTCGGCTGGACCATCCGTCATCCGGGCTGAAGTCCAGCGATTCCACGGCTCAGCAAGGCCTCTGTGTTGTTAGCGGCATTTAGCCAGAGTTCTGTGCAAGAGTCCTCCTGGCTAGTGGGTGGGGGGGGGCAGTACAGCCGACTGTGGACCGGGGACATATAGAACCAGTAGGCTTTGCTCTTTTCCCAGGGCACAGCCTGTATATCAGAAGAAAGATCAGTTTTAGATTTTTTTGGTGGGTGGGGTTTAATTTTTTATTTTTATTTATTTTTTTTATTTCATGTGCCTATCAAACAATGGCAACTTCCTCATAAAATCCTTACAGGAATTTGGTGGGAATTAATGCTGCCATGGTGATACTGATGGGCAGTTAAGGAGCAGTCAGAGCCGCTGGACCACAGCTTCGCCTGACGGAGGGGCGGCGGCTTGGCACTCGTCCAGGTCAGCTGCTGGCTTAGCAGTTTGGGGGGTGTGGCCTTTCCACGCATACACTTTCCAGGCCATCTGGGGGTGTGGCCTTTCCACGCATACACTTTCCAGGCCATCTGGGGGTGTGGCCTTTCCACGCATACACTTTCCAGGCCATCTGGGGGTGTGGCCTTTCCACGCATACACTTTCCAGGCCATCTGGGGGTGTGGAATGGGGGATGTAAAACCAGGGGCCGGCTTCAGAGATGATTGGGATAAACATTACTGTTAAGGCAATGAATTAAAAAAAGAAGACAGAAGCTTTCTAAGAAGGATCAGGTAACGGGGGGTGGCTGTCATGGCCCAGGGGGGGAGGGGGGTCAAATCCGGGAGGCGCCCGCTGCTCCAATGCAGTGACCTTGCGGAGGCGTGCAGGTCTGCTGAAATATGCGGAAATGTTCCAGCAGGAACATGCAGTCCTGCCGGTATTGGGTTAGAAAGTCACAGCAGCCGTGTTTTGGCACTGAAGTGCCGGTTAGGAACGCTGATCAGTTCCGTGCCTTTAACTACAGCACCACCTGCTGGGCTGACAGCCTTCAACATCGAAAACTCGATAGCCCTGGCGGGTCGGGGGGGGGGGGGGGGACTGGACACAGCTTCTGTAGTATTGACCTGTGATCCCGAGTTTGAGCGCATTAAGCACATTAAAAAGCCCATAGAAAGAAGCTGCATTATCACCCCCCCATGGGGCATAGCCGTAACCATCATCTTCAAATGATGCTTGACCTAAGACCACCTAAAGGGTTACACTGTTGCCCTGTGTCCCTTAAAGGGCACATCAGTAACGAGCCTCTCGTACTGTTAGCTGTGGGCCTGGCTTTTTAACCTGGGCTGTTGATCACTTCCTGATTCAGGTAGAGTAACCAATAGGAAGTAGGATCTCGGTGGTAGACAGGGCAGGGTAGCCCTGCCCGCTAATGTCAGTCATTCAGCCTCATTGCAGTGTCACATCTAAGCGTCTTAAAGGGAAGAAACGCAGGTGTCCCCAGCAGCCCCTGTTAACCACAACAGTCCAGATCCGCTCTCCTTTAAGGAGCCGCCTGTTTCTGCTTGTGCATTCCCAAAGCAGAAAGATGTGCACTGACTGCACGTGGGGTTAGAGTAATAAAAAGCGCCTTTCATCGCCCCCCCCCTCCGCTGCCTTCAAAGGCAGCCATTAGCTTTTCGAGCAGGCAGGGAGGCGAATGAAGCGCCTGTCCTGGCAGGTGCCAGTGCTGTGCTTGTCGTGCCCATCCCCCTCACGGTTACACGTCAGGGTGCCAGCTGCCAGGCAGTGGAGGCAGTGGAGGCAGTGGAGGCAGCCTCACTGCACGCACAGCTGCCTTGAGTTCTGCCTGCCTTTTATGTCCCACCTCTATTTATATGTTTCCTAATACTGAGGGATGTTTCGGTACCTCGGTAAGGCGCCCCCCCCCCCCGCTGGGCAGAGTGCGGCCTTCTCTGAGCCGCGTCCCTGTGTTTATTCCAAGGATGGGCCTTGTGTCTAAGCGTCCCATGTGTGCGTGTGTGTGAATCGGTGTCCGCGGGCGGGCACACACACGTAGGCGGTGTTCCCACATCTGCGTCAGCTTGCATATCTGCAGATGCATCAGCAGATCGTGAAGTTGCAGCGCCCCCATCTGGAGGGGCATCTGTCCTGCTGTCCATGTCCCATGAGGGAATGGAGCGGGGCGACCGGGAAGAAGCGGAGGGGACACGTGACGCGAGTCAGACAGGCGTGACGGAGGGGACACGTGACACGAGTCAGACAGGCGTGACGGAGCGGCAAGTGTCCATGACGCCCATTATCAGTGACACAGAATCTCTGTGAGGGAGCACCGCTGAGGGTCCAGAAGGGGTCCAGACTTTTCGCTCTGTGGGTCCTGAGCTTTTCAGATGTGAATTAACACGTATTGACACCCCAGCAGAGATTATAATTCATCATCATTATTATCTGCTTGACAGGTCCGCGTCTATACAGATGGCAGGTTCTGTTTTCCATTAGCAGCTATGAGGGTCCAACAGCAGCTCCCGCGATTTAGACTCCCTGCAGTCCTGATTCTGGGTCGGGGGAGGGGCACATTATGGAGTAGGCAGTGGCTGTAAAGGGGGGACCAGAGTACAATGGGTAAAGGAAGAATTAAAGGATACAAACCCTAGGATACAAAATCTATCCCCTTCAAGGGGAGGAGCCTTTGGCCAGTGGCTGGTGCTGTAGACTCCATTCATCTGGAGCACCTGGGAAGGCGAACATCAATGCCCAGGCATTTGGAAGGCTGCTTGTCTGGGGGGGTTGCTGGTCCCTCCTGTTCCAGGTCGAATTTCTTTTTCTTAAAAAAAAACAAAAAAAACAAAAAAACAGTGTTTTATTGTTTTGTCCTGTCATTATCTCCGTGTTGTCAGTTTCGTTTGGCCAAAAACGAGCCAGACCCGAGTTTTGTGGGAAGCGGCGAGGATCCAGCCTGAATTCTTTAGGACTATAGTCACAGGAAAACAATCTCATCCCAGGTTAAGATGAAGAAATGGCATGTAAACATTATTTCATATACAGGTGCTTAATGTTAAGGACCTGCCTGCATTGGGGCTTGAGAGCCGCTGCCATGAGCAGCTGAGGGGAAACAAGCAGGTCCCTGTCGGTGCTCAGATAACCAGCGCGCGCTTACAGCGCCGCCACCGCTGCCGGAGATCAGCGAGGCCGCCAGCCAGTGACAGAGACAATTACAGCTCCCTGGCCATGCCTGCCATCTCCGCCTGGGTTCAGCCCAAGGTCAGAGAAGGTGTTCCGGAAGCTTCCGCTGGCTCCCAGAATGAGACGGCACCCAGGGCGTTACCGTCACGCTCGCCGCGGCATTCCCAGCCGCGGAATGTTCACAGACGGGGGTCAGGCTGAGCCTTGATGGGCCCGGATGAATGTGTCACCGCTAAATGGCGTTTTACGTTTTACAGAGACCAGCGAACGTCAGCTGCATTCTGCCAGATTCTGTCGAGAGTGACCCTACCCAGTCACCCTGGGACAGATAACTAAATAATCACTCCAAGAAACTGTGACTGTTTTACTAACCATACCTCTGTGGGGTCTGCATCAGCAGTCTGACAGCACCGCACCTCATCCATAACTATAGAATCACCAGCCCACGTAATCCAGTCTAAAACAAAGCACATCAAAGCTGTTATTTCTGATCCCTGACGCTCAGTGGATGGGGTGGATCCACACCCAAATCGTATAAACTGAGCAGAATGGCGGGTCTCAGCTGCCCCATGGGCAAGCTGGGCATAACCCAAAATCCCTCACATCCTGTCCTGCAGCCTGTTACAGCGGCAGAGCGACAGGCTGCATCCCCAAACCCCCCCGCTAGCCAGAAGTCAAATCCCCTCTGTACAAATAAAGTGTTATCTTTACATTCACCTGTAAGTTGGCGGGGTCACCAGACACACTGGTTGTGTGTGAGCATTAATGCTAAAAAATGCCTGAACCATGAATACATTCGCAGAGCCAATCAGTACACTGCTGTATGAACCACTGAAAAGGATTAGGTGCAAAGCATTTTGGGAAAAAAAACACCATACTAGGCCAACCGGTGCTGGGAACAGCAAGCCATGTTTCTATCAAGGCTGTCAGTGATGCAGGCATGTGCATCTTTAGCAGCACAGCTGGACAGCGCTGGCCTCGGTGTTACTGAGCACACATACCCAGAATCCCTCACACACACTCACCCAGCCGGTCAAACATATAGACGGCCAATCTCCGTCAGAGCCGCATGGAGCTAACATGCTCCTGTCAGCCATGACAGCAGCACCGAAAGGGGCTAATGCACTTTCAGCGGCGTTCAACGCCGTGATGGATCCAGAGCAGGGCTGTAAGAGGGATACAGGAAATGGCAGCGAGACGGGCAATGATGGGCGGGTGGTGGAGACAGACAAGGAGGCGGGCGGGTCGATCCACAGCTAGAGGGCTGTGGGGGGGGGGGTGTACCGGCATGAAGCTGGAGCAGATGTGATGCTGGTGTGTAATGGAAGCGGGAGGGTGCTTGCAGATGGTGAGTGTGACACACATTTCCCATTAGTGCTTAGGGCACGGTTACTACTGCCTCTGTCCTCAGAGAGGCGCCGGCAGGGGCTTCCCCGGGGGTGTTACAACAGCGGGGGCCTGGCCACACAGAGCAGCCCTTCACACTGGCAACTGGGGGCGCTGCCCTGCACGAGTGCCTGAACCAACCCCCCTACCCCGGGGCCAATCAGGCTGTCCAGTTCTAACTGTGCCCCGCCCCCTCTGCCAGGGGGCATGCTGGGTAAATGAATGAGTTGCTTATTCACAAGTACGGAGCCACTGACTCGAGCCGTGGCTGAAGCCCATGTGGGGAGGTGCGGGCGGGGAGTGGCTAGGCAGGGATGCAGAGGGAAATCGATAAGCATCATCAGTCTATGGGGGGAAGGGCTGGGGTGGGGTGGGTTTAGGCAGAGATACAGGGAAATCGATAGGCATCATCAGTCCATTAGCGCAAGCTGAGCACGATGGTGACATTTTCCCCGATTAGCGCTGTACAATAATCATAACAGCAGAGTGATTATCATTTTAAGAAGGCGAGCGGACGCTGCACCCTAATAAGTCGCGTATTTGATGTGGCGAATGAGCCCCGGCGCCAGGTGTTAATTAGAAGGAGGCGTGCGAGGGGCCCGGTGGCGTGTGCATGCTGCCTCGCACGATGCCTGGTAATTACACACCGTGTGAGGAGGGGCTAAGAGCGGCGCTACCTGCCGCAGTAACCGTGCGTCTGATGTGCTCCGAAAGCGTGACCATGGGCGCCCGCGGAGCCAATTCGGATTAAACGCCCCGCATGGAAAGGAATTCCGGCCCCCGCGGCCGCGTTCAAGGCGGAAGCTTAACACGCCGTATCGGGCAGGTTCCGGCAAATGGGCTTAGCGGTGGTCCGCTTGATGCCTCTGGTATGTCTCTCGCACGGTGGCCGGCCCGCGACCCAGTCCGGCGCATGCCGGCACCCTGTGCCCATGGCAACGGCTGCTGTCATGTCTGCCGATGGTGCGAGGAGCAGCCCGAGGGTGTGTTATCAGTGCCGAGTGTGTGTGTGTGTGTGCATCACTTATGCTAGGATTCCGGGTCCCATGCAGAGAATACCTGTGTGCCTTAGTGCCTGGCGTCGTGGAATTGTGGTGCACAGCAACTCGCTGATGTAGGTAACCGGCAGGTACTCCCCCTGTCTGTACAGTTGGTGGCGCAGCAGTTAAAAAGACAATCTGGCAGGTTAGAATCCCAGGGGAGAGTTCTGCTCTATCCATGAGCAAACATCCAGCTGTTTGAGTGAGTGAACGTGTGAACGTGCTCGATGCTTAGAAGCCGGCAGGCACCAGCAGCCGGTTCGAGGCGCATCGGAGAGACTAACTGGTGTGGAAGCTTACCTGAATTTCTAACTGCGCATTTTACTTCAAAAGCATAATCTAAAGTGAACCAGACATTTTAATGTACTCCTTTAATAAAGCACATCAGTGGGCTGCAAATGTAAACAAAATGTCTTTTTTAATTACCTTTTTTAAACAGGGGAAAACAATGAAACTTAAATGAAAGCTGATTAAATAAGGATTTTTCATACTGATTTATATAGCTGATTTCAGCTACTCGTAATGCTCCAGAACGTGTACTTAATGGAACCGCGAAGTGCTAAATCATGTTTTACCACATTACCATATGTAAGGGATGTGCTGTCAGTATCAGACATTTCAGTCATGTATATTCTGAGAAGTGAGACTAGGATACAGGGTCGCCAATCAAGGTCAAGGTCATTTGGAGGTCATTCACTGCTATTGGCTGTAAAATAAGCTACCTGTGATTGTTTAGGACAAAGCTGTCCTAGACAGAGTGTCAGCTGGCAAGGGCTGGCCTCTGGAGTCCTGGGTCTCCCTAGACTCCTCCATCTCTGGGGGGGCGGAACTGTCCAAGGTGCTGAAATCACCGGTTTCACTGGTACCGCCTTTTCCCGACAGTCTCCAAGCTCTGAATGCAGTCAGGCTGTAATCCCAACGTTCTGCTTGCAGAGAGCAGCCGCGATAATGATAAAGACCTTCCGGCGAGACGCCATGACAATTCTGCGGTTTTTGTCTCCCTCACCAGTAATAAAGGGACGTTGACAGAAAAATGTGCACAAAGTAACCAGACATTCACTAATGGAACGCGTTCGCACGCCGGTGCTCATGACAGTAACACGGCAGTCAGTGCGAATTTCGTAATGGCAAACAAGGAAAGAAAAGCATCATCTGTTACGGATGATCATGTATCACAGAGCAGCTAGACGACCCAAAAAGTAATTATGTGTGAGAAGGGGAGACAAGGTCTCAAGCCTAAACTCAGTGCCCCACGAGCTTTAGGGAGGGAAACAAAGGAGATTAATAGGATGGGGTCAGTACTGGGGCTGCAGGGTATCGGGAACCAATGGGAGTGCAGGAGAGCTGCCATCGTCGGAGGAGGGCCAAGCCGTAACTAATGAGCCGGCCACGCTCATTAAAATTTAGATTATGACCCAAACACAGCATAAGAAATTAGCAGAGGGACTCACCACAGCACAGATTAACCACAAGTGCAAACCTCAGAAGTTTCAGCCGAAAATCACAGAGGTGCAGGCAAGCCAAGGTGAGGAGGACGCGTTCCGGAAAATACTCCACATGACGAGCGTGAGGTCAAACGTCACATCCCCGGGTGACACGACTCGCTGGAGGTTCCTTTGCTGAGAACACCCACCTGCACAAACATGGACGGGGCGTAAAAACAAAAAGTATACGGATAACAATGTGATGTAATGATGACATCACACGGCGCAGGCCGACCGCCGGCGGGGAAGCGTCCGAGCATCCTTCAGGGGATTGCTGGGGCAGCGTGAGGAGGTGGAAAGTCTGTGATGCGGCTCAAAGAACAGGCCGCCCTTCAGGAGTCTGACAGCCTGG